ATTAGTGTTTTTAACCCAGCCATGGCACTCTAGATTGATTTTTTTAAACGAAAATGTCAAAAGTTGACATATGACGTGTCATTCTATTCAGAGTGTCATTTTATATTGAATAAAGTTGAAATATATGGAGGGTACCATCTAAAAATCAAAAGTTGTAGTCATTTCCGGTGAAACAGGAAGTGACCAAAAACAATTGAATACATCAATCAGTCCTAATTTATGTCATATACTAACATACCAAATCTCGTTTTTTATCTAAAAAAATAAAAATGTTATAGCCTCTTCAGAAACGCTTTTTTTCTTTTTATTTGTTAAAATAAGACTATTTAGAAAAATAGAACAGAATTTCTGTCCCACTATTGCTCTTAAAAGTATTAATGAATTAATAGATAGATAATCGCAATAGATATAGCTGCTGTAGAAAGTGCACATCAAACAATCGCTTATTGACTTTGAAGTATTGCAATTTAAGTACATTTACATATATAAATGATATGCCTATAGATGTATATTTGTTTTAAACAAGTTAATTATGTTGTATTATTACTTTCTACAGATATATTAAAAAAATCGTGATGTATTATTTGCTCTTTATCAGTTGCTTTTGATAATTAGGCTGTTTTGGTATGGCTAATACAAAATAAATGAAAATGTAAAAAATGGAAACATTTTTAACCTGTTATCTTCAGCTAACAATTGGAAACTTGTCAAACTTGTTACTCATATTTTTTATCGTTATCTTAACAAAATAACTATAAGCTATAAAATTTTTAAGAACGAGCATGCCTTTTATGGTGACAGATAATAAATTTTTAGGAAAAAATACATTACAATTTTTCAAAAGTCAAAGTCCGCTTGATTTATGCCTGCCTGATTGTACGATGTCAAGTAATGCCGTAATGCAGTAGCTTTTGTTATTAAAATATGTACAGTAATATTTACAAAGATATAATGATTTCATTCAGAAGAATATCTAATGTTTCGTCCTCGTCGAAACATGTATTTTAATTCGAATGCCTTTTTTTCTTTAACTATATTTAGCTATTAGTAACTCAAATAATTAACAAAAAATGTCTATGCTATAGTAAAACCTGTAGTAACATATTCGATAATTTGTTTCAATTTAGAGATGTAATACATCAAACAGTGCTGAGAATGACAATTTTTAGAAAGTAGATTTAGAACAGGAAACCATAAAAGCTGCGTTCATCATTTATCTTTTTAGGAAGTCGACAATACCAAAGCTGGTTGCTTATTTGGTGTTTGGTGACAATGGTATTTACAAGACCATCTGACAGTATCGACTATCATTTTAAAGATTTATTCAGTAAACTTTGCTATTATGAAGTACAAGTATAATACTATTATGAAGATTGTAAAATCGAAAGTTGCTGATTATTCAGGCCCAACACTAAAGAGTTGTACAAACCACAATTTCCATGGGCGTAACCATGGTTGGGCACGTGTGGCTGTTAGCACACCCTAGTTGGTTGCTTAATTTTTTGTAGTTCAAATTAATATTCAATATCAATATATTGAGTGGAATTGAGCACATTGTTATTGAGTTTAAAACAAATAATAGATATATTCAAAGATTTGCCTAAAATTGACGTTGATAGACTTAGTAGTAAGGCGGTAAGACCGTTGGAGCTGTAATACTATCGAACCAACAAAATAAAACGTATTTTGTATGCAAGTGTTGAAGCTGTAAGTACATAGGTCTAATTGAGTATTTTTTTTGTTTCTACATTTAAAATTAAAAGTTTTAAAAAATTTCATCATAACCAATTTTCCCCTGCGTTTCCTGAGCCAGTAGGGTCAACGTTAACAATTACGGTTAATGCAGACTTAATTTTCGGATTTGTTGACAAAATAAATAAAATAATTTATGTAAATGCAAACTCGGTATATTTATTAATTACGGCTTGTTGGTTATTCATCTGCGACAGTGAAAATGTGAATTATTAATAAGTATTCGTAAACCGTGGAAGTCGTTAACCTATGAATTGATTTTATATGGCTAATTATTACTACTTATAATTATCGAAATAAATAATTTAAATATTATTATACGCATACAGGGTGGTCCGAATTGTATTCGAGAAACTCCGGCAGCATACTCTGCAGATAGAAATATGTAAAAAAGTTATTTTGTTCAAATAATTTCTGAACCAACGTCGATATTTGGATGAAAATTGGTATCTGTGGGTTTTTTGATATGAGATGAGAAATTTGATTTTGATGTCAATATGACTTCAACCCTACTACTTGGCGTAAAAATATTTTTAAATTTATTATTTCACTCTAATATCTAACCAGTCAACATGTTTAATTTTGTCAACTATTACTATTATGAATATTAATACTATTGAACCATTACTTGTAACGATTTTTAACAAGGGACCGTTTTTAAGTATTAAAAAAGGGGGAAATGTATCATTTTTCACTCAGTAGTTTTATACAGGTGCGGACGAAAAGTTACACATGTAGGAGTCATACTGCGCCGAAATCAAATTTCACATGTCAAAAATTAACCAATTTTCATCCAAATATGGACGCTAATTCAGATGTTAATTAGGAAATACAATAAAAATGAAAAATCTACACCATGTATCTCTAACACTTTTATCTATATAATATGTTGCCGAAGTTTCCCGATTGCAATTCAGACTATCTTGTATATATATATTACGTTCTAAATAGTGGATTCATTTAATATAATTATTACATAATTTAAATAATAGATTTTATTTAAGCTATCGAGTTATTAAAGTAGTCAAAATTCGAGAAAAAAACGCTTATATATTATTAAGTGATCACACGCATGTGACTTTTTGACGCTTCATAAAAAAATATATTATTTTTTTCTACATGGGCGTTCAATATACTAGTTTTTTTGGAAGTAAATATCGGTAATTTTAATAGAAAATAATTGATATATTAATGAGACGTCAATATTTAAATTAAAATAATGATTTACCTTATCATAAAAAATTAATTCAAATACCTACTCCAGATAAAAACTTAGGTAATAGAATTTTGATAGACAAACGTTATTTACATTGTTGATATAACAAGCTTTAAAAACAAGTCTGATTTTATGTTGGAAGGTATAATATAATTATTATATATATTTCGAAAATTCATAAATGTGGTTATTTATATTGTTTTATATCACTATATTATTGATCAATAAAATTAAAACCTAATAATAAATAAAACTATATAATAAAAAAAAATATAATAAAAAACGAACTAAAAGGAAAACTTAATTGTTATGAGTAACAGATGTAGATAACTAATTTTTTAATTATTGATTTTTAATGATAAGTTAATTACAAACTAATCAATATGGATTTAATTTCTCTTTTGCAATATCGATTCGATATGCAACTAGTAATACCACTTTAATTTATTTAAAATTTAACCTATTCTAGATTTTAAAAATTTCACATGTCATCCTTTTTGCTTGTTTCTAGCTTAGAAACTAAGCCTTAGATCATAAATACACCGTATGATAAAGAAAACGGCGTCAAAGACGGCTGGGGAATGACAATCGATGATCATTTTGGCGAGGTCATTCTCTAGACGTCATTTACTAAAAATTGACATGTGCATGTTTGCATGTCAAAAATTAACACTAATTAAAGAAAAATTAAAAAAGAATAGAACGTTTCAACACTATGTTTTCGGCGACATTACTATTTCCTAGGTAAATTGTAGTTTAAAACATGCCCCACTGCGTTTTTCTCCAAAATTTAGTATGTTAGTTCTAATATCCAGTTCTAATAACATTATTGTTTTTTTTAATGTAGATAAAATTTCTATGTAGATTATATAAAATGCGTAAAGTCAGGAATTCTCTAAACTGACTGTTGTAAACTAAAAAAAAATATTTTTAAATTAGCTGTACAATTTAGTAAATTATTTTAAAGGTGGAGTGAGTGGTTTCAATACTATGTGTATTTTATAGAAATTGTTATAGTTATTTCCCCACTGAAACCGAAATCTAAAAAATAAAGATACCTACTTTTTTGTAAAATATGCCATTGCGTTACAATCCAAACGAAAATCAAATTTTCAGTAGATTTTTACTTGTAAAGAAATTTGCTTTTAACTATCATAGTCTATGCTTCAAGGGATGTATCTCCCCCGTCGTGTTAAAAATAGTATATTATTTTCTGAGGAGTAAAAATGACACTTTTCGTGGCGTGGCTGTACGTTTGACCAACCAACCACCAAATAAATTTTTAAACAATTTCAAACAACAGGATTCAGAAACAACCAGTCATACCCTGTATGCATTTATATATCGAGAAACTATGGTTACGCTCGTTGAATTTGACACTTTATGTCAGTTTAATATTATATTTTCGTGCTTTTATGCTTAGGCGTAAAAGTGCTTTACTTTTATGCCTAGGCGTTAAAATGATATTTTTATATTGCCAATCATCTCGCAAAAATTGATACTTTTGTGACGTTTGAACAAAAATATATTTATGTGTCTAAATCTAATTATTTTGAGGAATACTTAAGTTATTTATCACTTTCAGTCATCTGCAGTGCAACTTCAAGAAAATAACATTTTTATTTTTTAGATTTGTATTTCAGTGTCAAAATACCCAGACCTTGTCCAGGAATAGAAAAAAATTCGTACATACCCAATTCTAAGCTTTCTGAACAAAGTATCTTTATTAAGAAACGGCAAATTGAAAAAAAAAAGAAATTAATTAAAAGCCCATAAATATTATTTTTTATAAAACAATTTTCTCCTATTATTTTTTGTCCCTTATTTATTCGTATTTACACCCTGCATTATTATTACTAGAAAAAATATATAGCTTGAATATTTTTATAACTTAAGATTCTGTAACATTTTATATCTTATCCAAGCAGCTATTATTAATGACATAGCGAGTTAAAATGATTTCGATGACATCAGTCTATTAATAAATGCTTTAAGAGATTCTTATTTTAAATGACTTCTTATCTCAACTTACCTGTGCAGCTTCTCTGTTATCGGGTTGAGGTTGTCCGTATCCTCCCGTTTGACTCCAGTCTCCGGAGTTTCTTTGAGTGGTTGGTCCGATTTTGGCACCGGATCCAGACCAGAACCATCCGTTGATGTTTGGAGGCTGTAAATCGCCACGGTCGCATCCGGCAAAGTTACATTTACGTCCAGAAGTCCAAATATATCTGAAACATTATCAAATATATAAAAATATTATTAAATAGAATTAATTTAATACATATAATAGAAAGAATAGAAACTGCTCTGTACCAGTTAACCGAGCTAATACAGGCAAGCCTTGATAGCAAAGAAACAGCACTTTATGCCTTCTTGGACATTGCAAGGGCGTTTGACAATATACCTCGCAAGGTGGTCAAGCGATCTCTGGAAACAAGAGAAGTGAACAGTATGATAATTCGCTGGTTTTGGGAAATGCTCTCAACACGAAGAGCAGAGGCTGATATATGTACCAAAACTGTAGTTGTTAAAACAACGCAAGGAACTCCCCCCTACTGTGGAGCTTTGTCGTGGATGAACTACTAGAATAATTAACTCTAGCGGGAATACACTGCATAGGGTATGCAAATGACATAGTCATGATTGCACGGGGGAAACATAAAGGCACCCTGTGTGATATTAACTAAAGAGGACTCCGCATCGCTGAGAGATGGTGCAGGACTGTCGGGCTGCGCATCAACTCAGATAAAACAGCGGTAGTGCCATTCACCAGATCGAACCATTCGGCGAAGTTTGAAAAACTTGAAAAGAATCCATCTAGATAGAAATGAAATACTGCCATCACAGGAAGTGAAATATCTGGGAATAACCGTGGACTAATGTTGGTAGTTATTAAAATTGTTATAAAAATATAAAATTCTAATAAAAATAGATAAGTTATAATAATTATTTATAACCATAAACATCCGATACGCTACTGAAGCAGGTAAGTGAAATTGACGTATCTAAATTTTTTGACATCTAATCTTTGACAAGTAGTAATTAAAAGCAAAAATGCAAGAAAAAATATATAATTAGTTAATTTAAGTGAATTTCATAAATGATCGGTTTACTACACGTATGTATATTATATAGTCACTTACTAGCGAAAAGTTGTTCCATTATTTCACTCGTTTTTTGCCGAGATCTACCGCACGCTACACAACCAACTATTTTAGAGTCTTTTTCGATAAATCGCGATAGTGTCACTGTTAATTTAAGTTCTGCCACAATTTCCATCTAGATTTACTACCTTTATACAACTATCAGTAGTAGAATAAATAATAATTAACATAAAATAAGCTCCGTAAAGACTGACAAATCCACCAAATTTCAAATCAAATTCAAATGTGTCAAATGAATAGTCAAATAGAACTGTCAAGGATCCCCACCCTAGAGTCCTTTTTCCGCCAACCATGCATGAATACATGGACAGCATTATGCTCCATCCTTAGTCTTCTTATTCAAAGCAATGCGACAATGATTACTTGGAACACCCTCAAAAATAAAATTCCACTTCTCCAACTCCCAGAGGATGACATACCAAGAATTTACAACTTTGAGAAAAACCTCACTGTAGTATTGAGAAAAAAAGGATTGGAGGGAAGAAACGTTTGCTCAGCATGTAAAATACCATACCATAACGTGGTATACTGATTTTCAACACTTGGTTTCCAAAACCAAAGCAGAGACAGGGATAGGAGTATTTGGGTTGAAAACTAAATACTCCGAACCAATAGGCACCTACCCCAGCATCCTTCAGGCAGAAATTTACGCTATCGAAAGATTCGTACAATTTATCTCAGATAGGAACTATCAAAAACAGGAAATAGCCATCTTATCGATAGTCGATAGTCAAGCAGCACTAAACGCTATCGACTCAGTAACCATCAATTCGAAATTGGTCAAAGAATGCCTGGAGAAGCTCAACAAATTGGGCAAAGGAAATAAAGTCCTCCTACTCTGGGTGCCTGCTCACCTTGAAAAAGCAAATGATCTATAGTTAGAAAAGGAGCAAACACTCCACTAACTGGATCAGAACAGTTCTATTTTCCAAGCGGGAACCAACTGAAAGCGGAACTGAAGAATCTGGAAAACTCCATCCGTAACCTGGAACGGGTCTCCTCCAACGGTCTAAGATACTCGAAAAAATTCCTCAGAACTTACGACCGAGAAAAATCAAAGGTTTTCCTTGATTTAAGTAAAAACAATCTACGGATTGTCACGGGGTTTCTAACAGGACACTGTCTCCTCAACAAACACCTCAGTAGGCTGAAGCTATTATATATATTATAAGTAGGCGAATGCAGATTCTGTGGGGAAAATGGGGAAACACCACAACACCTTATCACTGAGTGCGCCGAGACGACGACCGTTCGTGCCATGAACTTTGGTACGGCTGATGTCGAGGATGGAGAGCTGGCCTCTGTGGAGTCGTCTCAGATACTGGCTTTTGTTAAAGCCCAGAGACTGTATGATGGGTTATAACTCGTTATAACTCAAGAAAGGGGAAAACACAATAGATCTGTAAAGCCGCGGTGATTAACTCCTCTCCTAAACATTCTACATTCTACATTCTAGTACATATAATAATATTACAATAAAGACAAATTGTATTAAATACCGAGTAAGGGAGTGTTTCATTATTGTCGAGTTAATGTTTTAATTAATCTAGTAGTATTAGCAAAATAAAACACTAATTCGGCACAATACACCAAAACACTTTACTTTTGCACTGGACGCGCGTTTCGCTATGTTAGCATCATCAGCAGATTATTGAAACTGGTATATACTATAGTATCCTATAAATTCCTCTGCAAAATTAAACAACTGTTACTGCTGATTGCTACATATCTATTTGTTTGCCGGAAGTAACTACTGAGTTTCGAAAAACCAACCCTCAACACACAATAGTGTTTAAGAGTTATCTACTGTTTTTTTCTACCTCTATATGTAAAATATAAAGTGGAATTATATCTAAATAATAATCATATTTGAATAAAGCGAAGAAAGTTATACTGTCAGAAGAGACTCATATAAAATCCATGGGAATGGCTTATTTAATAATAACGGTATGGCCTAGTCATTTTGTTGGACAGATAGGAGGTATTGTTGACATTTAAATTGGTGAATTATTCTCATTCCCATAATAGAAATTTCTATTTTTAATCATAACTCTACGTGGTTTGTATCAAATTATTAGTTTAAAAATACAAAGGAAATTGCTATATTTATTAATACGGTTTTATGTTTTATCCTATGGCTCTTTTGTTTAATAAATGCGAGAGCTTTTCTTCTTTTCTCAGTCTTGTCGTACGGATGACTGATTGAACGAATGATCTGAAATGATTGAGAGCAATTGAATTGACAGTTGTGTATATGGCGTAAGAAATGGTATGAAATTTTTTATAAAGTTAGATATTTAGGATTATGTAGCGGAATGAGTATACCTAGATATATCTTGGTAGGGCGTAATTAAATTTTACTACACGTATTACTGTTTGTTTGTAGGTAAACAATATATCTTAGCAACTTTTAAAGAACAATTTGAACTCAATATTGACGGTTTTTACATATATTATTGCAAAAAGTTATACGCCCGCGCGAGAAAAACTATAATTATCTAATTACATCATGATTATTCAGGATTTTATAGATTAAAAAGGGCTCTACACGCAACGATATCTGAGATATTTGAACTGTACAGTCCTTCGATTCAGTCCAAATCTCAACGTGTAGTGGTGGCTTCGATAAAGATCTTGTCAAAAAGATGAGATCTGCGATCTTTCAACTTGCCGAATATTTTTACTGCAAAGACCACAGATTTGACGGGAATTGTACATACAGTATGTCCCCGGAATTGACATTTTGAGAAAAATGCATTCTTCATAAAAAATTTTGCTTGTTCTAAAATGGTCAATCCCGTTTATAGACTTTATAGGCTATCATAATATACCAATCACGTTTATAGACTGTAGAGCCTCTTTTAATGTTCAAGGGTTGAAAAAACGGTTCAAAATAGTGTTTTGGTGTACTTATTGTACACCAAGTACCTATTGTACACCAAGCTACATGCTAGTATTTATTTTTTCTCTCGGTGTAGTTTTATACAGGTACAGTCGAAAAGTTATTACTTTTCAAAATAATTAAAGAATATATATGGCGTTCCAGAAATAAGTGCAACCCCAGAAACACGTCTATGAAGTCTTTTTGGATTTTTTTTTAGTTTTTAGTTATAAAACATAATTTCTTGATAATATGGCAACATAGGTATTAGATTAAATTGACAAGAAAGAAAATCCAGAAAAGATCCAGTGGTTCTCAAAATTTTAGCAAAAATATATATTTTTTTTGGAAATTTTCAAAGTAAAATAACTCCGTTATTGTGGACTTGAAAAACGATAAAGAGAAAATATGTTTCTTTTATCGTGATCTACCACCCCTTAAAATACTTGAACTTATTTCTGGGACACCCTGTATAGGTGGCGCCCCCTACAAGTAAGAATCATATTGATATCGAGATCAAATTTCTCATGCAAAAAAACTCTCAGACGCCAATTTTCATCCAAATATCGACGAGAAGATATTTGAAAAAACACGAAATAAAAATGGAACTTCTACACCCTGTATCTCCGAAACGAATCATTTTCCGACATACATTTATATGAACTTTTTTACTTATTTTTACCTGCAGAATATGCTGCCGATGTTTCCTGAATACAAATCGGACCACTCTGTATATTGAATATTCGAACTTTTATTGTTTTATCGAATGGACAAAATACTTTACCTGACATTTCCACGTACGATCCTTTGTTTGACAAATTCGTTTTCTTGCGGAGTTTCAAGAGAGACGGCGTCCATACAATGTCTTCTACAAATATTTCTGGAATCTAACCAATCTACTTCTACGTTTCTGGTGGGCAGATGTTCCCAACTGAAGAAATATGAGTGCGTAACACCACGGGCATCTCTGTAGGTTGCATGGCGAACTCCTAGAAATTGTAATACTACTTTAGAATATAAGATTACAATAAAAGTTTCACGATATTGTCTACCTATCATAATACACTACGAAGAAAGACAAAAAACAACAAAAGAGATAACCACCTAGTTATTTATCAGTAAAAGATGCTTTTTAAATTTTGATTTAAATGTGCAAAACGAGATATTGTTTGATTGACTCATAATGGGATATTGGTTAAGCAGTTTAACTGATGTATATGAGAAGCAGCTCTGGGTCAGGGCTTTATTAATTTTGGGTATTTGATAGTGCGTATTAAAACGACTTTCGCGTGGATGAATATTGTCCCTACGTGTTTTTCAAACAAATATGAAGGGCGTGATTTAATTAATTTATGCAGGAAGCAAGAAAAATGAAGTTTTTGTTTTTATAAACGGAGCTTCAATAGAGCTCAGAATCCGATTTTACGTAACATAAATTAACATAATAAAAAGGGAATATCTTGGTGGATACTCAGAATTCTATGTAAATCATCGTAAGTCGACTGGCTGTCTAATGAATAGGTTGTTTTGTAATGGCTTACGAGGTAAATTTTGCAGTTTTTAAATTTTCGAATCTTGTGGTGTCTGGTTAATTCCGAAGAAAGAATGAATAATTGAATAAACTCTGATACATAAACATATACGTACTGTTAGCACAGCTTCGGGGATCTGGCAACGCTAATCTCCTTTGGGCTAATGCTACTGTAACTCCTATGAGGAGTAGGGATAAATGTTTAATCATCCTTTATATCTGAAATAAAAAAATATCATATTAGATTATTAAGTAAACATCATATTAATGGTGATGTATGGAAACTAGTGTTCAGAGCCATAACAAGTAATTTTAATATTTATTTTTTTATATTAAATTGATATAAATATGGTGCATTCCAAGCCTACATAAGAGAGAATTGATATGATTCTATTAGTTGGTGACTGCAGTATGTATTCACCAATCAACAGAATAGGAAAAAAAGTATTGCAAGTACTTGATTTCATCTAGCTAATTTTTGTCACATAATTATACGTTTATATCTACTTATTTTTAATTCTGCATACTCCAGTGAATATCGGAAATAATATACTAGCTGTTCCATTGAACATAAAGGAGTAACTTGCTTCTAAAAATCTCCAATGTTGTCCAATATTAATTTTGTCTCACCTTATATATCTTTTCGGGTAAAATTTTAATTTGGTTTACAGGGTAAATTACAATTTAGGTAGCTGTTTTTTTTTTAAATGAAATTTAAATTTATTCTTAATTTTCACAAAATGTGAAATATTATGTCGAAGTCCTTACATTTTAGGCATACTAGAATCCGAAAATCAATTAATATATAGGGTATTCCATTACAAAAAAAACAACTTTGGTGCAAAACTTTTTTGGGGACAAAGTGTAGAACTCTATATATTTTTATAAAATGCTTTCAATTAACCTACATATGCTCCCAACATTTCATTGCGTTATAAACCACTGTTCTCCTTGGAGCATCCGTGGCGTATGAGAGGCGCCATCCTGTATAATAAATATTAGGGTGCCGGGCTACAGCGGTATCTAAGGCAACGGAAAAGCCGATGAGCTAGCTAGGCAAGGATCATCAGCATCCCATCTTGGTCCAGAGCCAGAAGATCAGAATACCCAAATGTATGGCCTGTAGTGCACTAAAACTCTGGATCAGGGATAAGCGAATGTCCACTGGAGAAACAGAGAGGGGCACAGGCACATCCGTCGTCCTTGGGCTTAGCTCTAAAACTGCAAAAGAACTGTCAATGCTTAGCAGGAATAAAGTGCGGATTACAACAGGCCTCTTCAATCAAGTGTTACCTGAACAAGCTCAATCTGTATCAAGGAAGTTTTTGCTGTAGACTCAGCGATAAAGCAAAACAGCTGAAACAACGGAGCACATAATATGTCACTGCGAGGCTTTGGATCGCAAGCGACACTTTTTATTTGGGAAAGCTTGGCTAGAACCGGAGGAACTATGTTCCCATCCTGTCAAGGACCTACATAAGTTAGTGCAGGGCACAAGGATAGGAGAATGAGTGCAGATATAGAAAGGGGACAAACATAATAGTCCCCACAGGTCGCAGTGTTTTCGGCTCTTTGTTATTGAGAAAAAAATATAACAAATATTAAAAAGTGTAAACAGGATCTAATATAGTCAAAAAATTATCATATTCAGTAAATTTAAATAAGAAAATGATTATATTAAAAATTAAAAATCCCAGCCGGAGAGGATTGTAAAAAACTAAATCCCACAGTGATAATTTAAAACCACATTATCTTATTTCATAATAAGTATTTTCCTTTTTTTCTAATAGTGAAAGGAAAAATTATCTATTCATCGGTCAGATTGACAAAATTTACGAATTTGTGACATAAAAAGCTATAATTCGATTTCAATTATCTCGATAAATATGGCCGTTTTTTTCTGACGGGACGGGCCGCCTAATCGTCGGGCGATTTTCCGGTCAGTCGGCTTCATTTCCGCTTTTTCTTCGCGCGTCATTAATCGCAGAGCAACTATTCCCGTCGTCGATCGGTTCCTATTGTTATGCGTTTTCGATGTAAAGTGTATTCTATCGATTTGTGGTCGTGACCGAGCCGACGAAACGAAAAACGCCATGAGAAAATTGAAAAACTTTCTTTCTGTGCCGGCGAACGGCGACCGAAGAGGTTAACCGCGCAATCTTCGACCGCGCTGAAGGATCGTTCATTGATCTGACGATGTTTTCACTTCCTCAAGATACGATTGTAATGAAATAAAGTTCTTCTCTTGAAAAAATACAAATATCTTCAGTGTACTTTGGGTTAATAAAAAAAAGTAAAGGGTTCATAATAATTAAAGTTTTTTTTAAAAAAGATATATTCCCTATCACTAGGTGCCCGGTGGCGTAGAGGTACAGGCTCTCGTCTACCAATCTCAAGGTAGTGGGTTCGATTCCCACACCCGGCATTGCATCAGCCGACTATTTTTATTAAAATAAAAATAGTTTGGGTACCTAGGTCGACTCAGCCTTAAATGAGTACTTGGGATTCACAATCCTGAGGTAATAATAGGCGGTTGAAGCGTAGTGCTAGCCACATTACCTTCCTTGTATACCGAACGGCTCTAGGTTTCCTTATACTATGGCTCTAGTATAGCAAGCTGTACCTTGCTACTTCCAAGGCGTTAAACGCTATATACGGGAGCTATTATTATTATATTCCCGTAGCAACTTTGTATAGGATAATTCAATAAGAAGTTTCGGATGTTGATAACGAATAAAATTAAAGTTTCATAACATATCTAAAATTTATTTATGGCAGTTTTTCTAGCAGGACAGTGTATACGTGGGACACAATATTTGCCAAATGGCCACCACGATTTCTGGCAGCACACAATTTTTTTTTTTGAAAATTTCCATTACTGCTGAACACATTGAACATACGAATGGGACATCGTATGTTCAATGTATATAGGACATGTATCGTTAACCGGCCAGGAAAAGTCGCGAAAAGCATTGGACAATCAATATATTTTTCCAAAGCTCTTTGATTAAAAATTAGTGGTTTTAACAAATCTACAGTAGATTGAAATTTAAAATACCATTTTTTATTGGTTTTTCTTTCAACTTATTGGTATATATTAATATTAATTAAAACATAGTTTAGAATAAAAGTATTTAATATTTATTGTGTTAAGTAGAAATAGAAAATAAATATATTGGTAAAACATCGATTAAAAACTGCAATTTTATAAATTTACGGTAACAAATATTATGAAGAGGAGAAAACAATGAACTCTTGCCAAATGCATTTAATTTGCCGTTGCATCACTGTGTGTAGTTTCTAAGCTAATTGCAATAATGGGCAGTTGATATCTTTATCTCTCATTAATGTAGGATTAAATTTTCTTTTTAGTTGCGTAATATCAGAGTATTTCTGGTGATTTACTAGCTATAAGAACTGAATTTCTTCAAGCGAGATACAGATTTTTCAGCAGTTCTCCTGTTTAAATGTTAAAGTAAAGATTTTAGTGGCTTTGTGTAAAATTGAATTTAATTTGTTTATATTTTTTACGCGTCCTAAAATTCTGGTTAATGAACCCTCGCATTAATGGGTTTAATTATAGTTTAAAACAGCTTTTTATTAATATTATTTATTATTAAATATCTAGTTTATCCTTTTTTTGTAAATGGAATAACAGGTAATATATTAATATTAATTATGTACTAATAAATCATAATGACTATTAAATCATTATGCTTTATTAGTATATAATTAACTTCTAAATATTAACATTAAATATGATATTGAGAAAATTATTAATTTTTAAATACTGAAAATTTACGAAAAATGAATGTTTGTTAATTATAACATTACTTTTCATCAGAAATATGTATCTTCAAATTATTTTAACTTAAATACATTTTAAGCTTTCAAAATACACTATACCAACAAAGTATTCATTCCTTCTTGTTGAATTTCGCCAAAATATCCATTTTGGTACGAAAGCATATAGGGTTGGTTTGTCAAAATTGGAAAATATTTTAGCAAAATTTACACTTTATCTGTAAATATGCGCTTTTTTTCTGTAAATTTTAAATGTACACAATATAGATATGTGTGGGCTTCCCTTTTAACATTACCATTTCAAAAACGAAAATATTAAGATCTAGTTCTAGAAATTTTTTTCCTAAGAAATCTAAAAAAATCTACATAGATTTACATAATATATTATGAGGGATTTAGATTTAAAGTATTTGTAATTCCACCCCGATAATATAATACTACTAAAAACTGCAGATCCATGAGCAGTGTTATCACTAAGAATGAAATTTATACAAAAAGTACAAACTTCCAAAAATAGTATAAATTTACAAAGAAGTGTAAATTTACAAAAAAAGTATAAATTTATAAAGAATATAAATTTGCAGAAAAGTGTAAACTTACAGAAGTGTAAATTTTGCTGAAAATATATTTTACAATGTTGGTATGGCTGCTTTCGTATTGTGATAAAAATGCATGAAGATTTTAACAGATTTTATTGAGTAATATAAAAACATACAACAAAGTGATAGTAGTAAAGTAAAAATAAGTTTAAGTTATATAGATATTTCTGATACTAAATCACCACAATACACCAAAACACTTTTACTTTTACACTGGACGCGCGTTTCGCTAACCATGTTAGCATCATCAGCAGATGATTAACATGGTGATTTAGTGTTTTATTTTGCTGCTGTAACACCTAAGGTTTCTACCTCCAACTGTAATCGGATATTTATGCTAAAATGCTAAGCGAAATCAAAAATTCTAGCTGTAGGTACTGTTTTTAAAAAGAATACATTGTTTACTATTTATCCGCACTTAGTTCATGCTTCATTGTATAATGTTTTTGATTATTCTTAATAGCATTAGTTGTGAAACATTAAATTACTTTATCTACTAAATTTTGCATTTTCCCACACAACAGTATTGTAAAAACTAAATATTCCCTAATCCTTATACCGGGTGCGTCTCAAAAGTGGCTCACCCCTATAACTTTTTTTATTTTTTCAGATAAAATAACGAGATTTGGTATGTTAACATATGACATAAATTAGGATTGATTGACGTATTCAGTTGTTTTTGGTCACTTCCTGTTTCACCGGAAATGACTACAACTTTTGATTTTTAAACGGAACCCTCGGCATTTTTTTACGTTCTTCCATAGAAAATGACACTCTGAATAGAATGACATATCATATGTCAACTTTTGACATTTT